GCTCGGTGTTCACCCAACACAAGACCTGTGGGCTATTTTTTTTTTTTTGTACGTTATGTTTTTTGTACGCGATTGGACACGAGGTTTTGCGTCAGGGTTCGGCTGAAACTATCGCTGAAAAAGACCTTTTGCACAAAATTCCAAAACGCCGGGCGCGAAGTCTGGAACGCTGATTCTTGCCACAACGGGAGAAAGCAAGAGGGTACGTAACGCACTTGTTCGCCTGCTTTCGCCACTCGTCTTCGCCTCTGTCACCTGCTAGAACCGACTGTACCTTGAGTTCCCGGCGTTCCTTTTTATATTAAGGGCGGGGCTGCACTTTTTGCAGCAGGTCTATTGGTGCTCTACTGATTGAACAGGAAAGCTAACTGTGCGGAGGCGCTGCGTTCGGCTGTCAGCCGAGCGCTATAGTCAGAACACAAAAAAATAATGCATGTTGAACATGATTGTAAACCTGAGACTGGGGCAGAAAGAGAACACAACAGAAGGTAGTAAAAGTGGAGGCAACGATGATTGTAAACCTGAGACTGAGGCAGAAAGAGAACATAACTACCTTCTGTTGTGTTCTCTTTCTGCCCCAGTCTCAGGTTTACAATCATGTTCAACTTTTACCAGCTCGTCTGCACTCTGACTATTTTTTCGTTAAATGCATGTTGTTGTTGCTCCCATGGCTTTAGTTCTCATTTTAGCCGCTAGGAACGCGAAGGTTGTATCCCCCCCCCCCCCCCCCCCCCCAATACATGTCAGTGTCTTAAAAAAAATTTGAACCCATCGATATTTTTGCTATTCTCAACTCTAAAAGAAGCGACGAAACCCAGCGAAGAGACGGGAGGGAGAAGAGATAGGAGATACCGCCTGTACAAGCGTGCAGCGAGAACTGGCGTGTCCTGGCGGCTGAAATGCGAAACTGAGGAAAGGGGATTGAAATGCAAATGCTACGAGTTCTCCATGCCGGTAACACAGATGCTACCTGTAAAAGTGTTACATGATTACTTCAACTTTGCTTCACTATATCGGTGTTATCAATAGATAGGGTCCAGGGCATGTATCAGTCCGGATCACGTATCGCTAAAACGAATGACCTAAGCGAGAAAAAAAATAAAATAAAAAAAATACTGCAGTAAATGAATTGCATTACAAAATTAGTTAATGGTTATGTTTTCACGAATACAATACTATTGAATCATGTAGGTTCTCGACCGCATCACACGCACCGATTCTACTTCTTCCTTTTTGTTTCATCCCTTCATAACCATATATCTCTCGGTGACACACACTACTGTCGTATTCACGCAAACGCGCGGTTTATAATAAGATAAATAACCAGCAACAGGTAAACAGTGAAAGCAATCAACACACTGGATCCTTCATAACTGCTTATAGGCTGCATTTACATGGATGCGACCGTAGCGCATCGAGTCGAGATTTCACGATTTTGATTGGTAGCAGTTGGGTAGAAGAGGAAGAAGTAAGCAGGCAGGCTGCATGTGATTGGTCCCTGCTCGATTCGATGCGCTACGATCGCATTCATGTAAACGTAGCCATAGACAACTTTATAGCAGGCGATACACGACAATACATCCAGCGGCTTCGCCAGGATCTGTAGTCGTGTATTTGCATCGAAAAGGTTGTAAGCGTGCCGTCTATTTTTCTAAGGAAATGTGAATTAGCCATTCGTAAATGGTTCAGGTACAGGGGTCTGGAATTTTAAAGGTCCTGACCCTCAACACTCAGTCTGCGAGCACAACGCCGATTCATTTCTTATTTTTAAATTACAAATGATATAAGGAAGCAAAGAACTGCATCGAAAACCCAGGGGCCGCGGTTCTGGACGTCGCCAGTCGCTTTTTCCCCCTCTCGGTTTTCCTCCCCGACCCATAAAACTGAAAGGCTCCCCCGAAGGTGTCTATCTTTAAAACACCTCCGACGTGCACACACGGTTTGTTGTTTCAAGAGGATTCATCAAAAACACGCTCACGCGCGCGCCGCGAGCGGGAGGCCGAGTTTTTGCTTACGGTAGAAGGAAAAGGTGTACGGGCTCCGAACAACAACGGCGTACGGCTGGAGAGTCTCAAGGTGACTGGCATCTCTGTACCCCTTCATTCGGCGGCAGGACCACCCACGGTATACAACTACGGGCCTTATGTAATACGTAACGATTTTGTTTTCTTCAACGTCACGTAATCGAGATCCTATACGATCATATCTGAACTTTCGTTCCTGCATCGCGACAGGTATAAACACCGGCATTACGTTACAGTATTTAACCCGT